CAGCCACCGTTCCAGAGGACTACAGGAAAGGAGTGTCATTTAGGGAGTTTCAGGTTTTTGTTAGAGCAAGATGAAGTGAACATTCACAGATGAAGCTGGGGGTAGAGGAGATTTTGTTGATGATTGACCTCGAGTTTGAGAGGACACAGTAGAAGTGTTTCAAATAATAGGGAGAGGTAGGAGATGGGATCAGAAAACATGATATACATAATCATATGGGGATTAAAATTCAGGGGTTGAGGTTTGGGCTTCTCAAAGGAATTAATACCACAAGGAAAGAGGGAACATGGTGAGATTAGTCCTAATGGTCCTGAGGCAGATAGTGTAAAGGTGAATGGGGATACTGAAGTAAGTGAGAGCAGGGCTCTTGCCAGGCATGCATAGATTTCTGGTGCTCCCACTAAATTTAGGCCCTCCATCATCTGGTTTTCAGCCCCTGTCTAATCTCATAATCACTCTTCCCATCCCTCCCTTCAGTCACTGTAGCTCTCCTGGTTGTTTCTAAAATACTGTAAGCATGCCCCTATCTCATTGCCTTTGTATTTGCTGTTTCCATTGTCTGGTCTGCTTTTTCCCAAGATATATATTTGGCTTGCTCCCTCATTTTATTCAGGTTTCTGCTCAAATACCACTTTATTAGAGAGGATGGTCGCAACTATCAAAGATAGTTTGTATAACTCTCTCACTTCTAATTATTCTCTGCTCTTTTTGATTGCTTTTACCTCCCTTCTTAATGTGTATCACTACCTGATTCATCATTTATTTGTATGATCAAATAACTAGCTATTTCTAGCTCCTCTCACCGAAATGTAAGCACCATGATAGAACTGGAACTTTGGTTCACTGTTGTATTCCCACTACCTAACATAGTATCTGCCTTGTGATAGGTACTTGTGAAAGCTTATTTTGTGAATGAATAAATAAATTCAGAAACAGCCCTTAGGGGATAAGAGAATTATAGTATAGTGGTTAAGAGTTCAGACTCCAAAGTCAGTCACATGAGTTCATTGTTTAAACTTGCTCCATCTCAGTTTCTCATCTGCAAAGTGGAACAGATAGTGGTACGTCAAAGAGCTATTAAGAAGAGATTATATTATAAACATTTTACAAGTACTTAACATATAAAATCTCTGGATTATCCTTCCAGAATCATTTCATTCTGAAATTAGAGACGGTGTTTACTTACTAGGCTTCTGACTTCATTTTTACCCAGCAACTCGAGTCTCTTGTCTGGTAACTTTCAATTTTCTTGTGCCCACAGACCAGCATGACTTTAGTCCCTAGCCTTTCTGGACTGTAGCTGAGACCCTGCTTCCTACATATCCCTCTTATCAAAACTTATACTTGCCTCCTGTTCTGCAGGAACTGTGCTCAGTTTTTCAGTACATTGTTAATCCACCTGGTAAAGTACTTCAGACTGAGGTATCTGAATACGTTAATGGTGTATTATGTTATTTCTGCCAGTATTTGCATTTAATGTAGGGACTACTATCCTTAAAGTAAAGCAAACAATGGTGAAAATCATATTAAGTAACTCAGGGCTGCTTTTTTTGTTTGCATTCCTCAGCTCATTTCATGTAGGTGACTGCCAACTTAATCTATAAATTAGAGTAACTCTGATTATGTCTTATCGTTCCTTCCAAGCATGAGGTACTTAACATGAATTTCTCTAAACAGAATCACGGAGGTAGAATTCAAAGGGACCTTAGAGATTATCTGGACTAGAGGTTTTCAACTTTCTTTTTAAAGCAGCAAAACCCCTTTTTCAAATGAAATATTATGTGGAAAATTAATATATAGATTAATAAAAGCACAGCTGATTCCTAAACCCAGGAATCTAAGCCATGTAGGTCTCCCTTTGTTGTCTGGGGCAATCCCCTGAGGGCACTTCCATGGAACCCTTAGGGCTCCCCAGAGTGCTGTTTTAAAACCACTAATTTAGACCACCTCTTTCATTTTTCCAGCTGAGGAAATACACCCAGAGAGCTTTTATTTTATCTGGTGTTACAGGGTAAATTAGTTGGATTAAGAGCAGTCCTCACATGTGCCATACTTAGGAAAACACTATTAGACAAGAGTGGAAATTCTTAGTTCAGATGTAGATAACTTTTACCATCTCATTTATTTTCATCAACCAAGTTTGTAACTAATACAAAGAAATATGAGACATAACCCTTTGCCTTAAAAAGCAAATAACGTAATTGGGAGACTACAACATGAAGTTGAAAAGTTATACCAAATTTAAATAAGACTCCAAGACTTGAGGTGTAATAAAGCTGAGTGGAATTCATTGAAAATAAGTGATTCTGAGAATTGGCTCTATTGGAGCTCAGTGGAGGGTGAAGCTACTCTATTTGGTTAGAGAAGATTTTAAAGAGGAGAGATAACTAAACTGAGTAGCACTGGGCTAAGTAAATAGGGATAAGGTGATATAATACTGTAAGTAAGGGCAGAACTTTGAATTCTAGTACCTTCACTTACCTCTGTATAATATTGGGAAAGTCCTTAACCTCTGAGCCTGTTACTTCATCTGCAGAATGGGGATGTATGGGATGTGTGTTAATTAAGGGCATATTAATTGATATACCATAAACCTCAAAATGTCAATGATTTATCTCAATAGAAGTTTATTTCTTCTGTATGTCTGTGTCTACATCAGACAGCTTTGTAAGAGGCCACGCAGGGACCTAGGTTCCTTCTTTTTTGGTTTCTACCTACCCTAGGTCTTTGGAATTCTCTTCATTCAGTGGGGAAAGAGAGTAGAAGATTCTACTGCAGAGGTATTCAGAGGTCGGGCTGAAAGTGGTATATAAACCTTTGCCCACTTTTTTATTGTCCAGAATTCAATCACAAAGCTATATCTAAACACAGAGGATATAGTTATGTGCATAATGTGGAACTGAAATAAGTTTTAGTGTTCACATAAAATCTGTTACCTCACAAAGTTGCTGTGAGATTGGAGGAAATCATGTATGTGACATGCTTAGTACAGTGCATAGATATATGGAGGTATTTAAATATCCTTTTTAAAGAATAGGAACATTTATATAATGTTTTACTGAGTACAGATAATTCACTAAATTTTTTATTAACATGTATTTTAACCCTGTCTTTGGAGAAGTATCCATTTATTTCTAGCTCTTGGTAATAATGATAACTAATATTTAAAATGATTCTCTTTGGTAAGTTCTTTGTTTATTTTTCTTTTAGCATGGTGTTATTGCTACAGAAGATGAAGAATATTTTATTGAACCTTTAAAGAATACCACAGAGGATTCCAAGCATTTTAGTTATGAAAATGGCCACCCTCATGTTATTTACAAAAAGTCTGCCCTTCAACAACGGCATCTGTATGATCACTCCCATTGTGGGGTTTCCGGTAAGTGAGTGTACAACTTTTAGTAAGTATATTGTATTGAATTGCTGCTTTTTCTTTCTTCTGGCAAGTATGGTAAGGTTAACAATAAAAGTAAGTAGGAATTTGACTAGAATTATAATGTCCAGAGCACTTTTAATAGATGTTACCTACCAATAGTTTCAAATCATTTGGAAGCTCTTTGAGACGCCTTTAAACTGTAAGTTTGTATAAAATTCATTTTCTTTTTTTGGTTGAAGGGAAAAAAATCATCTTATTTTACTTAAATAATAGCTATAGCTTTTATGCACAGGTATAGTGTAATACTCTGTGATGTTTGTTTAGCCTGATATTTTTATGCTAGTAGCAGGGATCTAGACATTTGAGTAAGACTTGAAGAGTCTTAAGGTAGTATTCAAAAGTAGTGTTAGCACTGAGTGAGGATAGTATAAAAATATGCAGTACAGACAATAAACATAGACTTCAGTGGTCAAGGAGAGCTTCATGGAAGAAGTAACTTCTAAGCTGAGGACTGAGGGAAAAGTGAAGGTAGCTGTGTAGAAGTGGAGAAAGCAGTGGCTATAGTGTTTCACATAGAGGAAATAGCGTTTATGAAGCTCCTAAACCAAAAGAGAGAATGTCATGTTTTATAAGTTGACAGATAGTTCAAGTAATTGGGTAATAGAATGTGGGCTGGAGGGATAAAGGTGAGGTTCATAGTGGTAGGAGGAAGTGGTTATGAGAGATGAAACTGGAAAGGTTAGCAGAGGCCACATCATGAAGAGCTTGTGAACCATGTTAAGGGGTTTGTTTATCCTAAGTGCACTAGAAACCCACTGAAAGGTTTTAAACAGGAAGAATAACACATAATCAGATTTGTGTTTTACAAAAACTACTCTGGCAGCAATATGGAGACTGAATTAGAGAAGAGCAAGACTAGAGGTAGGGAGTTAGGAGGATGTTAGTCTGAAGATGAGAAAATGTAGAGGAATAGTAGATATAGCATAGCATAGCAAAAAGAACATGGGCTTTGGTATAGGATAGGACGAATTACCTAACCTCTCTGAGTGATCATCTCAGCACATACTAGTTACCCAGTCAAATTGCAGGTATCATTAAGATGATTGTTTTGTAGTACACTAAAGAGTTATTATGCTAAAAATTTTTTTTTAAAGATTTGTTCTATGTAGTTCCAGTAGTTAGAACCAGGGGAAGAATGCCTCAGAGGGAGATTTCGGCTTAATGCAAAGCTAAAGTCAACAACAAGTAGATGTAGTAAAAGATAGAAAAGGTTGCCTTGTGAATTAGTGTATGATATGCATCATCCTTTTGTTACTTCTCCATATTTTTCATGGACTTGTTTTCTTCTTAAGTGTTGAGTTTTCTTTGGAATTTTTTTCTTAACTTACTGTTCTCATTCTGTGCACTTTCTTCTTAAGTAATCTCTGAAGCTGTTAATTAAGTCCTTGTTGGTCAAGAATAATTGGTACCAGAAAAAGACAACTTACGGTGAAGCTACCTAAAACATGAATTCCTGAGTTAATAATGAAAACAAAAGGTTTGCTGGGTCTTTGTACTGAGTAATGAAACAAACATTATGGAAACGAGTTTATCTTATCTTATATTCAACAACATTTAGATTGTCAGTACAATTATATATAAATTCTTTAAAAACTAGAATTCAAATATTTAGTTGGTTTATTTTAATATAATTTTCTATCATTTTCCATAACATGCCATCTTTCACTGTATGATTATAAAAAAGATCACCTTTTAGAAAAATATTTAAAGATTTTATCATATTCTGAAAAGCCTATCTCTTAATCCTTTCATATTTAAATTATTCTTTCTTGAAGTACATATCACATTATTTTAACCCAGGCAGATCCTTATTTTTTAATGGTTCACACATTAGTCAAACACTTCTCCAAATCCGTTCTTATGGCTATCATAAAATTCTGCCCTTTTGTGGGAAGATATTCTCCTACCTTCTCTTATTTGGATTACTATAACAATTTCCTAAATAGTCTTCCATTTTAATCTTTTCAATTCACTGGCCATTTCTACTACCCCGAACACTAGCATATTTATTTCAGACCCTCATTATTTCTTGCCAAGACCACTATATTGACTTTCTAATTATGCTTTCTGTATCCAGATTTTTGTTCTTGTTTTCAGTTAAATCTGTCTCCTAAATCTGGCTGTGTCACACACCTTGAAAAACTTCACTGGCTTCCCATTCTTGGGAATATAGTATTATTTCCCTATGTTCTGGGCAAGTGTTACTAGACTTTATTGGGAAAAAAAGCACTTGGGGTTTAGTAGTAAATTTGGGAAATGTCTGGCTAACATCTTAATTGTAATACTGTTTCAAACAGCATAGGTTAAGTGAGAGATGTGAATATATAGGCATACATTGCCAGTTAGCCTATTACCTGGAACTCAAGTTTATGCCAAGATATAAGATATCAAAACCCCCTTGACACTGGATATATTTATCTTATGTTCAGATATTAATTTTTCCATTCTAATTAGATTCAAACTATGAATTTTTAAAAATTTTATAGAAGGAATAAACGTTATTTTTAGGAAATAAACATTATGGATGTTTGTAGGACAAAAAGGAGAAAAAGAAAGTTACTCTTATTCCAACACCCAGATATAACTAAGTATTCTTCTAGTCCATTGAAATAGATATTATTATGTCTCTATATCTGCATTATCAACTTATATATTCATTAAGTAAATATTCATTTAGTACCTGTATGCAAGGCTCTTTTAGGTGCTGGGGATGCAGCAATAAATAAAGCAGAAAAACTGCTCTCATCGAGTTTATATTCTAGTGAGGAAAGATAGTTAACTAAATAAGCAAACAAACAAACAAATAAACAAATATATGGTGAACTGTCCAGAAGTAGTAAGTACTATGAACAAAAATAAAGGGGGTCAATGAAATAATAATGAGTGGCTGTATATGTTCAAGCATTTTGGTATTGATCAAAAAGTTAAAATCTTCTTTCAGATGACAATGTAATCCATATATTGATTTTGGAAAAAAGTTATTGTGTTATATGTGTTTATGAGCAATGTTTTCCTAACATGTTATAATCTAATCAGAATTAAATTGAACAAAGCATTCATTAACAGGCATCATTTGAAGAACTACTCATCTTTATTTTGAAACAGAACAAGTCAATCTTGTTCTGTTTTTCATTTTAGACTAAGAAAGATAGTAGTTACAAATCATTAAGCGTAACATTAAGAAGTCAATTGACAATTATAGAATGTATAGTTTTCTAATGAGCTAATCATGCTGGATTAATTTAATTTTTAAAATGAAACTGAAGATGCTCTCTTTCTTGATTTTATTCATTCAGTATATGTGTATACATAAAATATTGAATATATAATTATATATGATATATATAATATGCCTTTGATGGACATTCATAAATGAAAATACGTAGTTTAAATAAATAATAAAAATAAATAAAAATATGTGTAGTTAAAATAATTTGTAATTTGTTAGAGTGATAGCCAAGCAAACTAAAATTTTAAATTTTAAAAAACTAAAATGTTGAAAATTATGATGATAGCAAAGATGATAACAGCTATTACCTTACACTGAATTCATTTTTTTTGTTATTATTATTTTTGAGATGCAGTTTTGCTCTTGTTGCCCAGGCTGGAGTGTGGTGGTGCTGTCTTGGCTCACTGCAACCACCACTTCCCAAGTTCTAGTGGTTGTCCTGCCTCAGTTGTCTGAGTAACTGGGACTACAGATGTGTGCCACCATGCCCAGCTAATTTTTTTTTTTTTGTAGAGACAGGGTTTCACCATATTGGCCAGGCTGGTCTTGAACTCCTGACCTTGGGTGATCTACCCACCTCAGCCTCCCAAAGTGTTGGGATTACAGGCATGAATCATCTTGCCTGGTCTGAATACATTTGAAATTAGAAATACCATTTGCTATGTGTTTATTGCACAGTAGTGTCTAATTCTTTTCACAATATTTTAAATAAAAATAAGTAGAAATTGAATGGGTCAGAGAAGGCAGAATGATCAAAAGAATAAAAATAAGATTCTACATTTAGACATTTAAGCCGTCCAGCTAGAGAAAGAGACTGGGCTTGACTTAAATATATGAGTGGTTTTATGATCACAGAGCATTGAGCAGGAGAAATTGGAGTTATACTGATGTGGAAAAGCTTTTGGCTGTTTTGTAACAATATGAGCCAATGAAACCTAGTGGCTTACTCAGTATACTTTTAGTATATCACAGTTTCATTGGTCAAGAGTCTGTGCATGGATGGGTCATCTGCTTATGTTCATCCAGGGCTGAATTCTCATCTGGAATCTTGACTGGGGAAGAATCCACTTCCCCACCCCCATATTGTTGGCAGCATTCAGTTCTTGTGGTTATAGTTTTAGTTTTTGGATGGTTGTCTTCAGATGCCAGTTTCAGTTAACCAGCATGATTGCTCGCTTTCTCCAAGTCAGCAAGGGAGACTTGGAGAATGCTACAAATGCTACAATAATATATAACATAATCATGTACTAATATACTCAAAATCACATCCATCCCATCATCTTTGCTGTATTCTGTTAGTTAGTAGCAAGTGACCAGTCCTATCCATACTCAAAAGGAGGAAATCACAAAAGAATGTGAGCATCAAGAGACAGAGGTCATGGAGGCCACCTGGAGAGCCTGCCTGCCACAGTTGGATATAGGGAAACACTTATTATCTGGAGGATACTATTGAAATAAGAAGGGGTGTTTATGTCTTTGCTTCTCTTGACCTTTAGAAAGGAAGATGCTCATTTAACTTATGAGTTCCAGGAATATTTAACTGATAGGTCTCATGATCATTTCCACCTAATTTCTCAAAATTTATCCATCCTACTGTCTTAGCCCATTTCCTGCTGCTGTAACAGAATACCTGAGACTAGGTAATTTAAGAACACTGAAAGTTTATTTAGCATATGGTTCTGGATGCTGGGAAGTCCTAGAGCATGGCACCAGCATCTGGTGAGGGTCATCTCATGGAGGAAGGCAAGAGGAGAAAGTGAGTGCACACAACAGAGAGAGGAAATTGGGTCTAACTCATTATTTTTATCAGGAATCCACTCCCACAATAACTAACCCACTCCTGCAAAAATGGTTTTAATTCCTTCATGAGGGCGGAGCCCCCATGTTCTAATTACCTCTTAAAGGCCCCAGCTGTTAAAACTGTTACAATGGCAATTAAGTTTCACATGAGTTTTGGAGGAGACATTCAAACCATAGCACCTATGAATGCATTTTTTAAAAGACAAAGGCCAAAGAAGTTAGAAAAATGAGAATGGTTACACTTTCTGTCAAGTGTATCCTATGTATTAATCTAATTTTTCCTCACTAAATTTTTCAATAAGTGGAAGTGAGAAAGATTTCCTGTTCAATATAAGGATATGGAAGTGAGATATACAAAGGTCCTCTACATGCTTGTTTATTTAATGAAGATGATAATCTGAGGCAAGTGTTTACAAATACCATATCCCTGAAAGACTGCTTCTATACTGAAGAACCAAATGTCTAGAAAACAAAGGATACAGTGCAATCCATGCGAAATCTGGTTCAAAGCAAATTATGCTGGAATCATGATCTTTCAACTCTACTTGAATGCCTCTTACCTCTGGACTTTGGAAAAGAAATATTTTGAGTTCTCTGTCAGAATAAATAGTTGTAGACTGCCAGCCTAAGTGAAAAAAGTAATTCATTGCCTTTTAGAATTGAGATTTCTAGAGCAGTAGAATGGATTCTAATTAAAATAGTTTAATAAAAGCATCTTACTTTAAAATAAATCCTCAAAAGCATCTTTGGAATAGATTTATGCAACATCAGTGTTCTCTATTAGAGCTGTCTTAGGCTGATTCAAAAGTTCATACTCTAGATGCTTTTTAAACAATTTTAAATGATTCTTTGAAGTATATATTTTAAATTTAAATGTATCAAGATATAATTACTAGAATAGTATGAAATGACTATTTGAAAGTATTTTTATTAATTCATTTCTTAGACTTGTTTTGCTTTGTTTTCATGAGCAGTTGAACATTTACTTTTTTTTCAGATAAGATGATTATTTTGAAAAATTCACAGACTTTTTCTCACTACTGCATTTTCTAATTCTCTTTCCTTTGGAAAATCTTAATATAGTAGAGAATTTAAGAGAAGTATGTCTACATGAAAGATCTATAAATAAATATGTTTAATTAGTGAACCTATCTGAATTGGTTGCTTTTATTGTAGATTTCACAAGAAGCGGCAAACCTTGGTGGCTGAATGACACATCCACTTTTCCTTTTTCACTACCAATTAACAACACACATATCCACCACAGACAGAAGAGATCAGTGAGCATTGAACGGTTTGTGGAGACATTGGTAGTGGCAGACAAAATGATGGTGGGCTACCATGGCCGCAAAGACATTGAACATTACATTTTGAGTGTGATGAATATTGTAAGTTTGATCCCTCTATATAATATTTCACTTAATTATTTGTTGTGTTTTTGACTAAGGTCATACATTTTTGCTGTGAAATAAATAATGACAAGAATTTACCTGTCTAAAATGGTAAAATACTTGATCTAGTAATGTTTCAGTGCCATAGAAATACATTTAAAGACGACCTTATCATTCATTTTTAGATAATATGAGAGTTGTAGTGGATTGTTAAATCTTGTTTAAGAGGCTTTCTTTAACTTGAAACATCAGCTCACCCTCTAATTTTCATGCTATAGTTCATGTCTAGGAGAAAATATTTCTTGAGGTAGACTTACATAAAAACCTTTTACCAAGGCACCTTTAGGGTAGACTTCTAAGTGATATGGGGTAATGTATACAATGGTTAAATTTATAAAAAATCATTTTACCACTTAAAAAAATCAGACCGTCACCCTATGATTTTTGTCTGACTTTGTGTCTTTTCTTATTTTCTGGAGGTCAGGTTGCCAAACTTTATCGTGATTCCAGCCTAGGAAACGTTGTGAATATTATAGTGGCCCGCTTAATTGTTCTCACGGAAGATCAGGTAAGAATGAGTTAGTTTATAAATCTAAGATTCTTAACAGATAGGCTATATAGACTTACTTATTATTTAAGAATATGTTTTATTATTGCTCCTGTTAGGAAGTTCTAGTTGGATGTGATACTTAGCTCTACACATTTAATATCTTAAGTAAATTTTAAATACGTTACAAGAATATACCTCTTATGTTAAAGCCATATAGATGTATATTAGCTATATGTTTCAGTATAAGGGTGAGCATTTGCATGGCATATCTTATAATAGTGGTTATCATTAGTTTTTATGTTGATAATCTATGTTTACATCATTAAAACTGGAACTGGAAAGAATGTCTGTTAAATAATACACCAAATGAACTCTAGGTCAGATATTATAGAGATAAAAATTGGCAAGAGATTATTCCTAGAAACCACTGCTTCTAATTATAGTCTTACTTTAGTCTTCAAAAGTTTTAACAACTGACCTTAGTAATTTGTTTGGAACATTTCTGGTATGCATGTTGTATTGCAGCCAAACTTGGAGATAAACCACCATGCAGACAAGTCTCTCGATAGCTTCTGTAAATGGCAGAAATCCATTCTCTCCCACCAAAGTGATGGAAACACCATTCCAGAAAACGGGATTGCCCACCATGATAATGCAGTTCTTATTACTAGGTATGGTTTGTTGCAAGTATTTTTCCTTTGATTGTTTTGTTTATTCACTATTATAATAAATTTGGTTCTATCTAAAGCCTCATTCAGATAATGAGTATAGAGAAAGCAAAATGATAATTTATTTTTCACTACTGAGAAAGAATGTATTATACTATTATTATGTTTGCATCAGATGAATCAAATAAGAAAAAAGAAAATATTAAGATTTGACTTAGAAATTTAGTAAATAACTTTCCTTCTACTGATAAGTTCTATTCATAATGTTTCATCGGAAGCATGTAGATGATTTATTAACTGAACAAAATACCTACTAAAACAAGATTAAAACGTGTGAGAAAATATATATCTTAAAAATAATCATTATTGGTTATAAAATATATTAACTATTCTTGCCTCATAGTTGTGTTAAAGTGTATTAAAAGGGAGGAGGAGACTGGCAGTTATATAACTTACTTGAATGCTTATTTAATTTAAAATACTTTAATTAAGATATATAAATATTAAAAAGTAGGTTGATTACACTATGCATTGAACAGCTTGTCTCTCAACCAAAATTATTATTTGATGATAACCCATTGAATTCTTATGTTGCTTTCCAGTTTTACAAAACTGTTTTCAGATCCATTTTATTCTTTATTCTCTAACAACAACCCTGAAGATAGTGTTATTATGTTACGCATATTAGAAATTAGGGAAGGTAAGTTTCTGAAGATTACTCAGCTAATAAGTGAAAGAATAGGGCTCAGATCCTGGTGATCCTGTCTTTTATTATATGATGCTATCTGTTTTAGTTTTTAATACTCTAATTATGATTGGATAGAAACATTATACTTAAATTATTTTAAGTTTGCCTTTTGACCTCTTATTAGTATTTTAAAAATAAAAAAAAATAGCAGTAATAATAAACAAATGGAAACATTCTCTCTTGGCTAAGTGGAGTAGTCTTTGGTATGTTGGTTATTTCAGTTTGCAAAGCAGAATTTAACATATGCTTCATCTGTGTATGGTATATTCATTGACTCTACATTAGGTTCCAGGGATGGAATACAAAGCATATGAGTCAGAATCTTCAGATTCAGTAAGATAATGTAAACTTTAGAAAAATTTCCCGGGTAACTGAGTCATAGAGTGAAAGTTCTGAATTTTATTTTATAGTTATGCTTACTTTAATTGACTATCTACCTGGCATCATAGGTGAGAAAATTTGGTTTATGACATGCTAGCTGAATAAAATCATATGGTTCTGTATTAATATATGTTGACATTTTATTGTGGTAAAATTTGCATCCCCTTAGAGTCTTCTGGTCTGGAATATCCTCAAATAGACTTAAGTAATTAAAAATTTACTAGGAATTGTGCAAATATAGAAAACTTTCTGTTTAAAAATATGGACATTGATTAGTGTCAATGAAATTACTAGAAGAAAATGTCTGTTGTATATAGCTAAAAAAATGATCATAGATATTTACATGGATTTTGTATTTATATTTGTAAAGCCCTTTCTCTCTTCCCAAATACGACATGCAGTGGACTCCCAGTACTTCAAATTTCATTATTATATCTCCATTGGATTTGTACCTTTTGCCTCAAATGACAGAAGTTATACCAAGCACACATATAGGTATTCGAGCAGTAGAGTACATCTGGACAGTTAGCCCACGTTTCTTTGCCCTGGCTACAACATTCAGCTGTCCAACTTTTTACCTGAAGTCTCCTGGATATTTTCCTGATTCTCTGCAGGGCTCTTCTTTGCTTTTGTAAGCTACTTTGAGTGCCTTTTTGATGTGTGAGGTTTGAACATAAACTTTTCTCTTTAATTTTTATTTTATTTATTTATTTACTTTTTGAGATGGAATCTTGCTGTGTTGCTCAGGCTGGAGTGCAGTGGTGTAATCTTGGCTCACTGCAGCCTTCACTGCCTGGGTTCAAGTGAGTCTTCTGCCTCAGCCTCTTGAGTAGCTGGGATTACAGGCTTGTGCCACTACACCTGGCTAACTTTTTGTATTTTTAGTAGAGACCGGGTTTTACCATGTTAGCCAGGATGGTCTTGATCTACTGACCTTGTGATCCACCTGCCTCGGCCTCCCAAAGTGTTGGGATTACAGGCGTGAGCCACAACGCCTGGACAATATTTTCTTTTTAGACTTGTCTCCTAATGATCAGACTAGTACTAGAAATGATCTCAGGATTTAATAGGGTAGTAGTTCAAAGAGTTCATATCATATTATTTTAGACGGGCTAATGTAACAGGTTAGAAAAATGCCTTTTGGGGCAGTGTGGAATTCTTTTTTGAATTCTTATTAAAGTTTATCTTTAATATTAGGAATGGTTATTTTTTGAGGATCAGAGGAGAGCTGCTAGTGTTGGACTGTCTCTTAT